GCTTCGTTTTTCTCAGTGAAATGGGAAGCAGAGTCATCAGCTCAGAGTAAGGGTGGGAAAGGAGGCAGGTGTAAAGTGTTTGAGGAGGGGGAAATGAGAAATTATAATTAAAAAATTAGGAAAGCAAATGGACCAGGAAGATGTGGTGTGATCTGTGATTGCAGAGCGGCCCCAGGCTTCCCTTCAGGTTTGTGGTCACGCAGCTAAGGGAGCCACAGCATTGCTGCCCTTCGTGCAGACACAGCCAGTCCCACAGGCTCAGGCCTGAAGCTGGCGCAGAGTGGGGTTTGGGCAGCGTTGGTGTTTGGTCAAGTAAGAGGGACAGCAGAGATGCGAACATGTTTGAGGGGGTGCTGATGGTGCTGGATCATGGGGTTTAAGCTGTGCAAGGAGAAAACTGAGGGCATGAAGGGGTTAAGAGACATGGAAGCCAGGCAGAACTAAGTCCAAGGGAACTTAAGGTAGCGAGCTGCCCCTTTGGGAGTCAGAGAGGGAGAGGCTCAAAATTGAGATTATGAAGCTATTGAGTGATGACGTGGTTTAGGTCATGACAATGGGACAGAATCTCTTGAAGCAAGAGCATTGAAGGAAAGGAGCTCACAGTACTGACAGGCCAGGAATCTGAATTTAAAAACAACGGATTCTGATGCAGAGGGTCCAACAACTGTGTTCCCAGGAAATCTTATTTCAGAGAGAGTTGACTAGCTAGCAAAACGTAAAGTATTAGAGTTAAATCAGAAAACATGAGGAGGTGGAAGAAATGTGAAAAAATATTAACAGAACGTTGTGTGTTGAGTGTGCAGGACTTGGTGTCAAACATTTTACACACGTCGCTTTATTATTCCTGGAAACAACGCTGGGGCTAGAGATTGTGGTCATCCCTGGCTTACAAATGATGAACGTGAGGTCCAGGGGGTTAATAATACGCCCAGGAACACCTCTGTCTGAGCCCCAACTCTGAGCTCTTAACCAGTGTGTCCACCTGCCTTCACAGATGCAGCAATTACGAGAGAGGGGGTGGTGTTAAAATCCGTACCCTGAGATGTGAGTAATAGGCTCACGGGGTTAGAGACTCTTAAGAACAATATTGTATACAAAGCGCAGTAAGAAGCATTGTCTCATCCAGTCCTCATATTAATCCTGTTTATTAAGCAATTTGCCCAGATCGTGGGGCCAATAAGTAGCAGAGCCTGGATGTGAATGTCCATCCTCTGACCTCCTGCTCATGCTCCTCCCACTAACTCCCACCACCACTTTCCAGAGATGATTCAGACAGAAACTTGAAAAAAAAACCTAAAAATTTTTAATAAATGTATTAATAAAGAAAGTATTACAAGTTGTTTCTTTTTTAGAACCTAACAGGGTAAGTCTCATACTTCTGGTTTCCATGGGAACATTCATACAGAATGTAGCATTCTTTCTGTTGGGGAATATTCTTTCTATCAATGCAAGCATTCATTCAATGGGTATTTATTGAGCAAAGAGTCAATGCAGCCACTGTGACAGATGCAGAGGATACAGCTGAGTGAGAAACATCCCTGCCCTAAAGGAAACCCCAGGCAGCTCCAGGCTTGCGGAATCTCAGATACTCTGCAGCCTTTGATGTCTGGTGCAAGTTAAGGAATTGCCCTTGACCTAGAAAACACTCTGTCCCTTAGGACCCAGTTACCTAAGAAATTATTCCTCTCCCCAGTAGTTTGGCACAAAGTAAGATCAGCTGCAGTGCCCTGGAGATGGAATCTTAGATTTGGACCTTGGGGAAAAAAACCCAGTGTGTTTTCCGATAAGAAAAAAAAAAGATGGTTCTATTCCAAGAGGGTCCAGTTTTAAAGCTAGATTTAAAATACACCCTTAAACAACTAAAAATAGACTTACCATATGATCCAGCAATCCCACTCCTGGGCATACAGCCACAGGAAACTCTAATTTGAAAAGATATATGCACCCCAGTGTTCACAACAGCACTATTTACAATAGCTAAGACATAGAAGGAACCTAAATGTCTATCAACAGATGACTGGATAAAGAAGCTGTGGTATATTTATACAATGGAATACTACTCAGCCACAAAAGGAATAAAATAATGCCATTTGCAGCAACATGGATGGACCTGCAGATTGTCACACTAAATGAAGTAAACCAGAAAGAGAAAGAAAAATACCATCTGATATTATTTATATGTGATCTGAAAACAAATGACACAAATGAACTTATTTACAAAACAGAAACAGACTCACAGACATAGAAATGGTTACCAGGGGGAAGGGAGTGGGGAGGGATAAACTGGGAGTTCGGGATATGCAGATCACATCACTATATATAAAATAGACAAACAACAAGGACCTACTGTACAGCACAGGGAACTATATTCAATACCTTGTAATGGCCTATAATGAAAAAGAATATAAAAAGGAATCTAGATAAATATAACTGAATCACTATGCTGTATATCAGAAATTAACACAACATTGTAAGCTGACTATACTTCAATAAAAAATAAAATAAAATAAAAATTATGTTAAATATACCCCCTGCTTGGCAGTCTAACTGGCTCCATGGTCCTGCACTGACCCTCATTCGCCACTTACTTAGACATGCTTTTGCTAGAAATACTGGGTTTGTACATGTCAGGTAATGTTTATGGGCTTTTTGGCCCCACACCCTCCTGCCAAACTGTCAGGCAAAGGCCACGGAAGGCAGCCCAGGACACCAGTCTATAAGAATGAAGGACAAGGGTGGGCAAGTTCGGCTTTGTCGGGGTTGGTGCTGAAACAGCGGCTGAGCCGCAGCACAAGACGCCTGAGGCGGCTGTTTCCACGTGCTGAGACAGGCGTGCACACCTACCTCACGAGGCTGCTAATTAAGAAAGGCACACACTGTGGTTCGAACTGAGCGTGGGGTCTACAAGGAAGGGTGTTAGGTTTTGCCTCCAGATTTAGAAGACTGCACTGGTGCTCTTCGTGGCAGGGTAGCTCGTGTTGCCTCGCTTCCCTCTGGTCTTAAAACACGTGAGTCACAGTGTAATTTAAGAATTACACTCTCTCTTACATTTGCAAAAGTTAAGTGAGACAAATCAAAGATTAAGTTTTCTTATCAGAGAGAGAGAGGATCCTATTACCTATCGGATTTTTCAGAATCTTTTCGATCAGGAAAATGTTTCATATTCTCTTTAAATCTGATTTGGTGAACCACTCCGATCACAGATTTATTTTATTCGAGTCTCTTCTGGAGTTGCGGGATTACACAACTCTGCAACTCCTATAGCTTTAAGAGCAAGTA